GGTGGGACATTTTTCATAGGCTGGTAGCCCAGAAGCCTTCTGGGATTGACATTATCCGGACTCCAAGCACTTAACTTTGGAGTTCTTAAAGCCTGCTAAGGTAAACTGGATTGTCTGGGCCAGGTCCCAGAGGTGAGGAAAAGCAACCCAAGTCCCATGAGAGACTGTGCCCTTGGCCAAGCAGCCAGAGCAGCAAAATCCTTTTAGCAGAGAACTGAGTTATTTCAACATAAGCCCAAAGGTAATAACAAAGCCATTTCTCACCAGTGGAAGCCCTCTAAGTAACTTTACAAAGACTCATCAGAATTCTGTTCTTGCACCAGATGATGTCATGTTTCTCTCCCACTATTTTAGTCTTTGGGGTCTCCATTGTCCCTATGCTGGCCTACACAGAATATGAGCATGTCTTTTTCTCTGTGATGGAGTCTTGCTATAACAGTCAACAAAACATGCAGTGTAGCTGCTGAACATGCATATTAAGGGATATTTGATGAGGAGAGAAGCAACAGTTCTGCTAGTTCACATGACAAAATGAAAAAATGACAATCTCCGATAGAGAATATGAAATTGCAAAAAATTGAACTACAAGAATAAAAAAAAAAACTTTTTTAGAGTGGGAAAAAAGTGGTACCACCCCCAAAATCTGAAGATTTTTCCTTAAATTATAAAGTCCATCACTTGTAGAATGCTTTGTTTTAAAAAATGTCCATGTATGTTTTCTCATTTAATTCTCACAGTAATTCTATGACACAATGTGATTCTGCTTTATAGATATGAAAATTGACCCAGAGACATTGATCAATATGTCCCCAAATCTCATAAGAATGAGTAGCAGAGTCTTGACTTAAATGTGTCTTAATTCTTATAATTCCATAATTCTTAATTCTTCTAAGTCTAGTTTACCATTACAGAGGTGGTTGTAAATGACATAGGAAGTAGCCTAAATTTTGTTTTATGATTTCACTGTGGTTCCTTAAGCAGTATAAATGGGGTGCCATTTCCCATATAGTGATCACTTTTCACATTGTCTTTCAAGATAATAATTAAGAAGTTTTATTTGTCTGAATTGAAGGTGAAGCCTCTCACACTGTTTTTTCAATGTTTTACTTTGCTCTGACTAATGGGAGTGTGGGTTTTGTGCTGCCTATCACATTTTGATGAATGCATAAATGTTAAGATCATTGCTAGGAACTTTCTCTGAGAACATACATCTCTCACATGTTGCCACTTCTCCTTTGACTTAAGAATATAGATGTTATAGTCAGTAACATATCAGAACCACAACATTTTGCCCTATTGTGTAATGGGAATGTGTGTGTACATGTTAGACGGGTATACAACGTGACCATAATACGGGTACACAACATGACAATGACACTAAAGGCTGAAAAAAAAAGAGTCATTTATTATACCTAATTGCAGACACCTCTTGACCAGTTCTGTTATGAGAAATGAAACAGTCTGCTTTTCTCAGACCTGAAATTCACTGACAATCTAGCACTTACTTTAGTCAACATTTGTCTGAATAAAAATTGACTTTACTTCTTTTTTTCCTATGGTCAAAGACAAAAAACACAATTTTTACCCAGCTTCAGATAATAATAACTTAAAATAATTAAGTTGTATAAGTCTTTTATATAAGTCCTATTGTATTGTCTCCTTTAATCAGAAAGAAACACTGTAAGAAAGAGAGAAGTTATCCCCATTTTATAGATGCTAAAGCTGTGGTCTATTGACTTATTCATGGTCCCAGCTACTATAATGACTTGATCCTGGGACTTCCATGCCCAAATCTCTGCACTAATTCACAGATATTAAGCTGCCTGCACGCGCGCACACACACACACACACACACACGCACACTCCTTTTGACTTGCACAAAATAGAAATAATAATGAAGCATTTAAAAAGTGGAAGTATAATGTCACTCTGTTGCTTCTGATGGATAATAAGTATATAATTGAGCCATATTTTATATGTGTGTGTTTTCTTGTACTGTATAATGATGCTTATCTTAAACTTCACTGCTTAAATATTGCATTTTCCAAGCATATGAATAGAAAATGTTCAGCTGCCTGAAAAAGACCAGACTGACACAATATAAGCCTTTTGTTTACTCACTGAATAGGCACAACTTGTGCCCTTCCAGCTGCTTTGCCCACAGTCTTAACCTTGTTCCATAAGAACCACCTGTACAATAGCTGGATAATTAATTCCATACTCCATTTCAGACTTGGGATATTCTGTTAAGATTAATTGAGACATAGAAGAAGAGACTAGAATGGTGGCTACCAAGGGTCTACAGGGCTGAGAGGGAGAACGGGGAGATGTTGCTTCAAAAGTAGCAAGTCTCACGTAGCATGAATAAGTTCTGGCAATCATTGTAGAGTATGGTAATTATAATTAATAGTACTGCATTGTGTACTTGAAAATTGCTAACAGATTAGACCCTAAATATTCCCACCACAAAAAAAAAAATGGTAAATATGGGAGGGATATTAATTAGTTTGATTTAATCATTTTACAATGTAAACATATAGCAAAACATAACACTGTACATAAGTATATACATTTTTATTTGACAATTATACCATTATAAAACTAGGAGGGGATGGGCTGGGGTTGTGGCTCAGTGGCAGTGCACTTGCCTCGCACGTTTGGGAAACTGGGATCGATCCTCAGCACCGCATAAAAATAAATAAATAAAATAAAGGTATTGTGTCCATCTACGACTAAAAGCATATTAAAAAAAAAAACTGGGAGGGGAAAATGACATCAAATAATGGCTTTTAATGTCAACAGTGTACAACACCCTAAATTAGGTGGAACCATGGAGGCCAGGTGGCCATAGGTTCTGAAACACTTCATTTTTAAGTACTATCTATTGAGAGCTTCTTAAATGAAGAAACTGTGTAGTGGAAATGCTGCATTCAGGATGCCTGAAAGTCTGTGCTATGGACTATTAGGTCTGGCGTCTTAGTATTTGGAGTGTTAGGACTCTGAACAATTGCTCTGACTTATTTTATTTCCAACAGCCAATTTGTATGAGATAATAGTGTGGAGGTCAGATTCCATCCTTTTCTCTGAGGAAGACAAAGTGATTCATAAAAGACAGCTGTCCAGAGAAATACACTTATTAGCATAGGGAACTAATACTAGGACCACTTCACATCAGTAGCCATTTAAAATATCTACAAGACAAGCCTCTGACTCGATGCCTTTTCTATTAATATACCCTAACATCTACACTGAACTGTGAGATTGGTCATTTTCAAGGCTTTTAGGAGCCACTTATAGTTTCAATGTACAATCAACAGGCAATAATCAGACAATATTGTCAACTGAAACTCAGAGGCTCAGACTGTATTATAAAGTCCCTAGTCTTTAGTCCCTGCAGTAGTTAAGGAGAGTTTGCATATGTGCTTTTCCTCTAGTCAAAAGCAATCACCTCCTCCTTCCCTAACTTGAACATGGGCTGAGCAAGTTGTGGCTGGAGAAACAAAGAGAGATGGTGTTGAGTTTTCCTAAAAATTTCCAGTTTCATTTGTCAACAGAACCATGAGATGTCGGGAAGCTTTTTGCTGTCTATGATGATGGTTAATCTGTTGGAAACTTAAGTGTCTGTGGGTGACAACACCCAACTCTTGAAATTCGTTCCAAGTGCCCTTATCTCATTTATAACCAAAACTTGGCCCAGGGCCTTTAAGGTGTCACTTTCTTCCATTCAGTTGGTAGACATAAGAACCAGAGAGGACAATTCAAATGACATTATGTGACCAAAAGTGAGGAAGCCATTTTCCAGAGAGATCAGTTCACTACCACAGAGAATTCTATTTCTAAACTGTTTAAATTTGGTTTGCAGGAGATTATTTTGTGATCCTGGTGTGCTTCCTGCATCTGTTTAGTCTTAAATGCTTCCGAAAACATTTTTCAAAATCCTCTCGTGATTTTCTAATCCTTCCTAATACATGGACTGCTTAAAATGCAACTCTTCCTATTTTTTTTTCTTTAATCCTAGCTTTGAAAATGCAAACGTGTGATTCTTAAAAACAGATTGAAAAGAAAAATGAGCGAGGGTCATTGGAAGCATAGCTGAGTGATGCTGATTCTATTGTTCATGTGTCTCAAAGAAAATTTCAAACTACATGAGTGTTGTCAATTCTATGAGAAAAGTGAGGGCATTTTAATTACAGCCACAATTTATATTGGATCAGGGTAAAATAAATGTATTGCACTCCCTCTGCTGGCTCTGAAGTTCTAACAGCTCATTATCCAGACCTATTTTTAGATGTAGTTCCCCACTTTAAAAAAAAAAAAAAAAAGAAAATACTGGAGTGTGGAAAAAGGAAACAAGAGCTGGAAAACTGTCAATTTTATTATTAGTTTATAATGTCAGAGAAACCAACATCACCCAAGACAAATGATTAGGATGAGCAGAAAAGCCAGGAGTTTTTAGGCTCTTCAACATAGCACTAAGAGAAAGGGAAAGGCCACCTCTCCTTATCCAGGCCTAAAGGCCTTTAAAAATTACTGAATTCTGTCAAATACTGAAATAATATTTTCTCAAGCTTAAAAAACAAACTAGTAGATTCATATGTTGAATATGTTCAAAACGGCCCAGGAATATACAGGCATTCATTTGGCTTGGGGTGGAAGAGAGAAGGGAACGTGACTGTCTGTCACCTATAGTCAGAGGGGAAAGCTGAAGATCATCATACTGAAACTGTATACCTTGGGGAGGCCACGTTACCCACAAGCCTGGAAGAAATACCGTGGAGTTTTAGAGCCAGGAGGCCTAAGAAACACTGGTTCCTAAGAAACACTGGTTCGTGAGCTAAAGGGAGAATCCATCAGTTGAGGAAAATGGTACAGATGTCAGGGACCCTGAGTATCTCAGCTGTTTCACTCTAGTTGATGGGTACATGCAGGGATTTTGTGCAAAGTCCAGCTTCTGCGTGGTGTTTGCTCTCTTTTCCATTCTCATTCACTCTCTTCCACAGGCGTCTAGATGCCAACCACATCAGCTATGTGCCACCCAGCTGTTTCAGTGGCCTGCATTCCCTGAGGCACCTGTGGCTAGATGACAATGCCCTGACAGAAATCCCTGTCCAGGCTTTCAGAAGTTTATCAGCATTGCAAGCCATGACCTTGGCCCTGAACAAAATACACCACATACCAGACTATGCCTTTGGAAACCTCTCCAGCTTGGTAGTTCTGTAAGTTTTATTGATTTTGCTCTCTCTTCTAATAGTTTCTAAATTCACTCTAGACCTTGGCCTTAAAATGCTGGCCCTTCAAAACTTGAATGGACACATTTTATGGGAGGACAACTCCCTGCCCCTCTCCCCAAAATGAGTTACAAATGTTCCAATTGTGTAAATGACTTAAATAACATTTATCAAGCACCTGATAAGTGCCAAATACTGCTAGGCATGCAAAAATAATAAGTTATGACCTCTGCTTTAGTGGAACCCATTGTATATTGAACAAGAAATCACAGCACTATACAGTTAGTACAGTAACCAAAGTTATTTGTTTAAAAGTCCTCATTTTTTATAATAGTTGAGAGCTCAGGTCAAACTGAAAGATGCCTTATTATTTTATAATATGTATCAGTAATATTAATACTATCTATTAAATACTTCTTGAGTCAAGGAAAGAGAAAGGAGAACCATCACCTGACAGCAAGTTATGCATTTGTACAGCTTTTTTCTGTTAGGTCTAGATTTCATTACTTTAGTATATCAAAATGATTCTTGAATAAGTAATGTTAGAAAAATAATCAGTCTCCTTTAAGGATGAAGCAATATCCCCCTCATGTATAATAGAGTAGCCAATCAATGTTGAGACAGGAAAACAACTGCTGCTCAAAAGGCTCTGAAATCAATTGGCTTTAGTGTATTAGTGAGCTTTCCCTCACTGTAACAAAATACTTGAGACAAACAACTGAATGGAGGAAAAGTTTATTTTGGCTCATGGTTTCAGAGGTTTTGATCCATGGCTATTTGGTCCTGTTGCTTTGTGGGGGACTTGTGGCAAGATGGCAGATCATCATAGTAGGCAGTGTGTGGTGGGGCAAAGCTGCTCACTTTATGCCAGCTGGGAGGACTGGGTCCCAATATCCCCTTCAAGGGCACTTCCCCAATTACCAACTTCCCTCCACTAGGTTCCACCTCCTAAAGGTTGCACCATCTCCCAGGAATGTCACAGGGAACACTCAAGATCCAAACCACAACACTCTTGAGTGTTAACACTTCCTCTGTGGAAGGTCTGCACCAATCTCCTTTTGCTCCATGCTGCCCACTGACTCACCATGACCTTCAATCCCCCACCACCAACCACAATACCACCACCACCCCACCCCCAACCACCACCACCAACACCCCACCCCTGCCACCTTTGTTACCAACTTGATTACATGTTCATCTCTTCCACTTAGTGTATTCTTTGAGAGCTGGTCAACATCTTACCCATCTTTTTAGTTTCTCCTCAATCCCCTTCCTCATCTATCGCACATAGAAGATCCTCAGCAAGTGTTGCATTGGTCTCCTGTAAAACCAAAACTTACTTATTAGAATAAAGGTCTTAGTTTAAAAAAAAGAAATTGGGGGAATGTTAACAAATATTCATACTGAATTCCAAATATAAAAGTGATGCTACTGACCCACCAGAAGCTGCTTTAAATTTTTTTTCTCCACTAGAGGGGATGGATTTACAGAGATTCAGCTATTCTTTTTCACCCTATCCCCCTTAAACCCATTTTCCAAAATCCCTTTGGGAGTTGGTCCAGTTTTCAGCTGTATACACAGCTGTTCTCATTGGCTCTGACCTGACTTACCCCAGTTAGGCCGAAGGTGATAATTATGCACATTAATACTGTGTCAAGAAAACTAATCTTCTTGGGCAGCCGGAAAAATCATTCCCTGTGGCCGAAATCGTGGTTTCCTGTTGACCTGTGGCCCAACCCTGGGAATGTAGCCACTAGAAGCCTTCAGCTTCAATATGATGTGCTTAATACACCTATGACCTTCCCTTTGTCCTCCACTTGTCAATGATGATCGGTATCTCTGCTTCACATTCTCTAGCTCAAAGCCGTAGTAAACAAACTATAATGAAAACTACACTGAAAAACCTGCTCTTACTAATATAGATCATGTTGCTCATATTATTATATGAGATCTCAAACCCAAACAGTAAAACTGTGATTGTCTTTTAAATTCTTTATAAGCAAATGGGGCATGTAGACTTTTTTTTTTTTTTTACAATGTTCATTTCTCATAATTAGAGCATTCTTCGGCATAAGTTTCTTTGGATTTAAGCAATCCAAATGTGCCCAAATTTTCCATGTGCAGTGTGCCTTCCTGACTGTCTATAACGTTCTCCTGCAGGCATCTCCATAACAATAGAATCCACTCCCTGGGAAAGAAATGCTTTGATGGGCTCCACAGCCTAGAGACTTTGTGAGTTGACCTTTATTTGTTTCCCTTTTTTCAGTGTTTTCATGAATATTCTGAAAGAATCAAAATAGCCTTGAAGCCAACTTGCTGTTTGGTTTGGTTAATTGCCTGAGCTTTAAACAGATATCTACAGTGGAGAGTTTCTCTCTCTCTCTCTCTCTCTCTCTCTCTTTCACACACACATACACTCACACACACACACACACACACACACACACACCCTGCAGAGCTAAACAATAAAAGTGAGATTTTATTTTAATCTAATGAGAGTGATACATTAATTACAATAATTATAAGTTAAATGAGATGTTCTCTACTGAGCAGTGACTGTCTGCTTAGGAATGTGTATTCTCTTCCAAAGATCAATTCTGTATTGTCTCTCAGGCTCACTATTCAGGAATTTGGTCTTCCCTACTGATGAGTGGATACAGACTAGGCGAATGCCTGAGTTTCCAATCCAAGATGAACAGGCATTTCAATAAGAAACAGGATTCATGTTAAAGCAATTCCAAGAACTGCAAAGTAGTAATAGTTACCATTTATCTCACTATATCTATAATCAACTATCACATTGAACCGTTGGCATACGTCATCCCAATAATTTTTACAAACATCCTATGCACGTAGCCATTTCATCCTACCTTAGGATGGCATCCTATTTAATGAGGGTAAATTATTTTACCAACATTACATGTGTAGTCAGTAGCATAACAGGGACTTGCTTCCTTCTTTGATCTAAACTTCATGTTTACCTCTAGATACTTCTTCCAAAGAATAGGTCCAAAATTCAGTTCGTTATTGGTACCTATAATAAAAATGAGTCTGGCCAGCTGAACATGACCTAGACCCTTTCCCAAAGTCAAGGTAGAGGCTCTCACAGGTCACACCAGGGTCCCAGCCTTTTCCCAAGAGAGGAACTGCTCTTTATTGTCCTGTTGAGTGGGAGAAGTTTAATGAGGGTGAGGATCCTGAGTGTGCTGGGAAAGGAAGATGGCTGTAGACATGGGCTCATCTCCATCTCCACATTTCCATATTCAAGTGTAATAAACCACCCAGGGCCACGGAATCTACTATACTGGCTCTGACCAGGAATGCAGGAGGAGGTGACAAAGTCTCCCATGGCCTTGGGGCCCATTTTTCATTTGCATACAAAGCTTACCAATTTGCACATGCTAAATTTAGCTTCTAACCAGGTCTGTGTCCACTAATTTCCTGAAAGACCATTTGTTATTGGTCTTTTTATAGCCAATGAGCTCTAACAGCTCTGCTACCAGGGTTACTTAAATCACTCTGTTTCCTTGTAAATGTCAAAGATGGACTTGTTCAGGCAGGACCTTGATGTCAACTTAATGGCATAGATGAGCATTTCCTATCAGCTGCTAGGAAAATTTAGAACTTCTTTCTTCTCTACACAGGATTGAGCTGGGGATCTTAACAATGGAAAACACCTTCCAGTCCTTTCAACAGGTCAATAGGAAAAAAAAAAAAAAACATGGTATTTGATGGGTATTTGCATGATTTTTCTTTTTCCTCAATCCTGGGTGAAAACTCACATTTACATATAACACCATAAAACAAAACATTTTAGGGCAAAATTTGTACAGGTCTTATTGACTCCTCCCTCTTGCCCAGGGCTACAGAGGATCAGTAAATTGGTTATTCCAACCTCTTCCTTTCCCTTACTAGAAATCCAAGTAATTTATAAGGGCCCAATCCTTGTTTAATCAAAAGAGAGCATCTGGAGAGATTTACAAACAGGAAGAAAATTTATGTCCACAAAAGACATGAGTTTCCTGCCTGCAGTATAGCTTAAGGATGGTTTGTGCCAGACAAGTAGGAATCTTGATTCATGTTTAACTCAGCCAAATTATCCTTCTCTTAAAATTAAATAGCAATTCTTCTCCACAGAGGAAGATCTAACCACATCTGATTGCCTGACCAAAAGGTTTCTGTGTCATCTGGGAAATCTGCCATTCCCAGAGACCAGAAGGCAATTACTTTTTCATACGAAGATGTAGGTATAAGGTGGAGTGAGTCCATAAAGCACTCGTGAGTAATGGAATTGAAAAGCCATTTGTTCCATAACAGATAGAGAAATTAATGACTTGAGATGGTCTGTCCTTTCCATCTCTCTGTGTGAGGAATAATAAAGAGCTTTGCCTTACAGACCAGTGAAAACAACATGCTTCTGATTTGAATCATTTGTGACTCTAAGGAAATTCTGGACTAGATGTTCCTCTTCCCAATATCTGTATCTCATAAACCTCTCCAGAATCAGGTCCCATCCAGGACTTCAGGCTGAGAGAGATGCAGGCTTTCCTCAGGAGTCAGGAATAAAGCAACCCTCCAAGGCATCTTGACCCAAGAAGGGGAGGGAACAAGAAAGGGGATGCCATCCAGAAGCCTGAGTACAAATAGACAATGTACATAGACATAGTACAAATAGTACAATGTAGAGAGCCAGGCTCAGATGAAGAGCTCCATCAGCCTGCAGTCAAATCAACATGCCAAGCTAATGCCACTGCTGCACATTTCTTCCTGTTTTCAATGACTTAGACCTGTTGAGCTTAGATTCTGAAATTTCTCTTAATCAGTGTAATGACCATTTAAATGCAGATGCCTATGGAATCTGTGGTCTGCAAGCTAAGAAAACCCTCTTTATAAAGAGAAGAAATGAGAACTTTCATCAGTGATATGAGTCCATTGGAACAACATCTTGACTTACCTTGTGAAATATAGTTGCTGTGAGTTTTGAAATGAAAAACAAAGTATTATTTATTCATTTTCAGAGATTTAAATTACAATAACCTTGATGAATTCCCCACTGCAATCAGGACCCTCTCCAACCTTAAAGAACTGTGAGTATTTGGGAAAATTTTAGTAGAAGAATTTTGTTCATCGTGAATTTATTTTTAAAATATACATGATTCTTGTACATAATATGACTTCCTGGAAAATTTTTGAAGTTTATGTAAATAGTGGTTAAGTATACTGGAAATATAGTTTCATTGATTCCTATCACCAGCAGATATTGAATTTTTAAATTTATGATAGGTTTCTCATATATTAATATAAGAAATATATGCCAAGCCCTACTCTTTTTTCTTTTCCTAAGCCATACATATTTACATACATTCAATATAGTATATTGTATTATAGCATATAATATAATACATATTGTAAATTTGTAGTAGAGCTATAATAGAATGCAGTTATTTGCTGAGCATTTCTAAGAATCCAAACAGTTCTAGGTTGCATGAGTATAAAACTGAATATATAAAATAGCATATGTCTTGTATAATGCTAGGTGCTTTCCCATACATTTCATTATATACATTTTTTCCTTAAATGCTGCATGAACTTCATCTCATTTAAAAAACAGTTTTATGAAAAGAAAGCTAACTTTCAGTCATTAGAAGATATATATATATATATATATATATATATATATATATGCTTTTAGATGATATAAAATCAACTTTTCTTCATACCTAAAAAGATGAATAGCTTATATAAATAATATTCTAAGCAAATGTAGAACCTTATTATCCTGGCAGTGAGAAATGAGATACACAGTCAGAGAAGGTAGATAGGAGCTTATTTATAAGAAACAGCCAAAAAAAAGAAAGAAAGAAAAATGAAAAAAAACAGCCCTCAGCAGTTGCCTCAGGAAACCCCATGTGCAGCTCAGCTAGGCAGCCTTGCCTGTACTGCCACTCACCTCTGACCAGCACAGGCCCATGAAGACCCAGAGATCACTGACTCTGTCCTTCTGCCATGCAGGCAACCTTAGCACCCATAGATGAGAAGCCATTTTTATTTATTACAAACTCACTGAGCCGGGGCACCTTTCTTCAGGTCAGGAAATTTTGTCCTCATAAGAAGATTACTTAAATCTCTACTTCACTGCAGCTTAAGTCAATTTTCTCTTCTCCTAGCTTCAAATGGGGTCAGGAGGAGTGATCCTAATCCTCTTGCCAAAGATAGTTCCCACTCCTCAGGCTGCTATACAATGGCACTCTATTTGGATATTAACAGGTGGATTTTCTTTTTATAATATGAGCTTGTAAGTTTCCATTAATAAAAAAAAAGTTTTTTCAGAATCTCTCTTCCTCTTTCAAGACAAGGCACATAATTTCTTTTTCTCCTAAAGAATAAATGAGTGTCCATAAGTTTCAAGCCTCAGAAAGGAGTTTAAGTTTGTCCTCTGGCTATTGAAAGTGATGATTATTACCATGGTGGGGGTGAGGGGAGCTATTAAATAATTTTGCCCCACACATGATTTTCTATAAGTTGGTTTTTTTTCCCCTCTTTTTCTAGAGGATTTCATAGCAACAATATCAGGTCAATACCTGAGAAGGCATTTGTAGGCAACCCTTCTCTTATTACAATGTAAGTAACCATGGTGCTTTTGGGTTTGTCCATATTGAAATGTAGTATATATAGTACTTTTAAATATGATATACTGTCCTTTGTTTGCCTGTGTTTTGTCTCAGCTGATGTAATAATCTATACAGAAAAGTGTATCTGGAGACGTCTTGTCAGGTTTCAGCTGAATACTGAAATAACAATTTTTTTTAATATCTATGATATACATTGCATTTTGCTTGGATGCTTCTGATGCCTATCACATCTCACGATCTTATACTTGCTTTTGGATATCTCTTTTTTCTAAGGAATGAATCTGATCTTTACTGCATCATTGTTAAGGCCACATAGTCATCCAGGACTTCAACCCAAGCATACTAGAAATATAAATTATCATATGCACCACCATTTGACCCAGTTATGCTATTCCTTGGTATATACCCAAATCAGCATACTACAGTGACTCAGCCACATCAATATTTGTAGCAGCTTAATTAACAATAGCAAAGCTATGGAACCAACCTAGGTGCCCTTCAACAGATGAATGGATAAAGAAAAATGTGGTATATATACACAATGGAATATTACTCAGCCACAGAAAGAATTAAATTATGGCATTTTCTGGTAAATGGATGAACCTGGAGACTATCATGCTAAGTGAAATAAGCCAGTCCCCCCCAAAAAAAGGCTGAATGTTCTAATATGTAGATGCTAACACACAATATAAAGGTTGGGGGTAATAGAAGTTCATTGGATTAGACAAAGGGGAATAAAGGGAAGGAAGGGGAATGAGATTAGGAGAGGCAGTAGAATGAACTGGACATAACTTTTCCTATACTCATATATGAATACATAACCATTGAAACTCCACATTATGTACAACCACAAGATTGGAATCCAAATTAGATTAAGTCATACTCCAGGTATGTATAATATTTCAAAATACACTCTACTGTCATGTGTATCTAAAAGAACAAATTTTAAAAATTAAAAAAAGAAATATTTAACCTTAAAAAAATAAAGAATAAATAAATTATCATATGAAAATGGGACTTGGCAAGCAGTAGACTCCAACCTAAGTTGGTGTGGGATGGAAGGGCAATGTTTTATGCTAAGTCTACTCATTATCAAGCCCAAGCATTGACTCACAGAACAACAAAGATGTAATTCTAGAAAGGTGCATATGTTCTAGAAAGGTGTGTATAAAGATTTATATGCTGTACAAGAATAAAATAAGGTTACAATTACAAAGCATAACTAGTTTTATGCTTCACATTTAGCACAGACAATTGATTACATACAGGAAGATGAAAATATACTAGTATATTATTAGACTAGAACTATAAAGAGATATTAGACTAGAAATATAAAGAGATAACCAAAATTAGTCTACTCTTAGTTAAAAGACACCTGTCCAAGCATGTTTGGGGCATGGTATTGGCCCAGGGTCATTGGTGAGGAATCTCAAACACAGAAAAGGAAGGACAACTGTTGAACATAGACTCCAGGGGCACTTCTTGGCAGATGTTCATCCTGAGCCAACTAGATCAAGAGGCTTTCTGGAACCATGTGGCATTTGTCACAAGTGATCTGGAGCCCCAATTAACCCTGACAACTGGAAAAAATATTTTGAACTAACAAACAAAACAAAGCATTCATCATCTCTGAAATGTTCTGGCAATATCTGGGTAAGCTAAGGGTTTTAAATTGTATTGACCAATAAACATTAGTCCTCATTAGAGGGTATTTACATATTAAGAGGTTGGCAAATTGCATTGCCTTTGCTCCACTTTCCTTGAAAGCCAGAAGTTTTTAATCACTCTTTTGATATGCTAATAGCTCCTGAGGAGGACTAACAGCCTCTGTAGTTATTAGAGCTCCAAGCCATTATTTGATGGTTGTGGCCACTTTCTCCCTGAAACTTTGCTCTCCTTGCTCCCACATCCTTTTCCACCTCCTGTCACAACCAGCCCCTTTGGTCTCCCCCATCTCTGTGCATGCTTCCCATGTCCTGTCCTCACTGCCACCTCTGCAGTTACAATCCTACCACACCTCTTCTTCATGCCTGCCCAGGGAACTCACATTTGTACATGTATATAAACACAGTTATATCTACATAGCATAAAGTATAATCAAAAGCCAATGTGACATTACCAGGAAAATTCCATTTTTAAATCATAATGCGTATATTCGAGCTCTACTCTTTCTCTTACTGATTGCCTAATCTCAAGAGAAAAGAAGAGGTTAGAGGGTAGAACACAAGAGGACCAAGGTATTCGGTAACAACTGTAGCCCAGGTACTTTGCCAGACACTAAACAAACATTGGCTCTTTTAATTCTTAACACAAAGCATATGGCTAATGTATCATTGTTTAACAAATTAGAAAATTGAGGATCTAGGAGGTAATGAGCTTTCTGAGGTCTCTGAGCCTCAATTCTCTCCTCCAAAATGAAGAAAATAATATGTATGCCATGGATCAAAGTTGCTGCATGGCTCAGTTGATGTGTGCCTATATGGAAATGCTTTGTCAAGTGGAAAGTAATATGCTATTATTTATTTGTTTTATCCCAACTGATTCCAAAATCTTGTAAGGCAAGAACATTTTGCCATGCCTCTTTAAAAATCCACCATCTAGAATAATGCTTACATGCATAGTGGATACCCAATGACAGCTTCTTTAATAGATCAGTCTTCCAATTCCCATATTGCCTAACCTCATGCTTTGAACATAGCAGACATCAATAAATATTTGTTGAATTTAATTGAATTAACAAGCTGTCTCAGCTAAGTATATGGGGCTCCATTGACCAGGCAATTCAAATATATTTCAAATAACATTGAAAATATCTGTAAAATTATTTTTTAAGTTCTAATAATATTTCACCTTTTTTAAAAATATTATTTTCTAGTTTTATTTGGACACAATACCTTTATTTTAATGTGGTGCTGAGTATAGAACCCAGGGCCTTGTATGTGTTCTACTGCTGAGCCACAACCTCAATCCCAATATCTCACCTTTTAAAGTGATAATTAACTTGAGAAAACTCTAATGTTGAGAAAAACCCCATTTTCTCTTAAGTAATTTAGAGAGTCTTGTGTTATGATGATATTTAACCCACAGATAGAACCTTCAGTGGATATAGATATATAAACATCTTTCTTTAATGGTACAATTACCAATACTTTGAATTACCTTTTTGCCACTAAAATGTTGGTGCTATACAGGTGTTGGAGGCTGAGAAAGTTTTTAAGTACAGTTACAGTCAGTTCACTTGCTTTTTTGCTTAATAACTATCATTTATAACTGCCTTGCTGTCAGAAATTTTAAATTTGATATAATATGGATTTCTTACCAAAAGTCTCTAATGTAAGTCAAAACACTTTTGAGGTTTTCCTGGAATCAAATAATCAGGAATGTTATGTAATATAGTATAATTAGAATTACATAAATACCTGTACTTGTTGAAATTTCAAACATATTCATTTCGAACAGATATTCTAAGACATTGGTGTTTGCATTTTTTTTTTTTTTAGACATTTCTATGACAACCCCATCCAATTTGTTGGGAGATCTGCTTTTCAACATTTGCCTGAACTAAGAACACTGTAAGCATCTGTTTCTGTTTTGTGTTTTGTTTTTGTTTTTGTTGTTTTGTTTTGTTTTTGTTTTTATAGTACTGATCTTGAATCCAGAACCTCATGCATGCTAAACTGAACTATATCCCCAGCCCCAAGTACCTGTTTCTCTTCTGTCTCCAAGAATTTCTGTGAAGACCAAATGAGTATTATAGGTTGAAGTGCTTTGAAAATGACAATAAGAACTGCCCCTTTCTGGAATCTTCTCCCAGTAACACTTACATATTTCTCCTTCTAGGACTTTGAATGGTGCCTCACAAATAACTGAATTTCCTGATTTAACTGGAACTGCCAACCTGGAAAGTCTGTAAGTACTTGAGTAGGCTCTTAACTTTGGCCAGAACATACACTGACCTTATGCCTGATCAGCCTTAACATCAGTGAATCAAAACATGTCATTGTGTGATATGTGAATGTCTGGTTTGTGTTTTAACAGGACTTTAACTGGAGCACAGATCTCATCTCTTCCTCAAACCGTCTGTGATCAGTTACCTAATCTCCAAGTGCTGTGCGTATCAGTAAGGCGATAACATTGTGTAAATAGACAACTTCCATTTAGGAGTAAAATGGTAGCCATTATTTTAATAATCCTTTAAAAGGGGAGAAAGTTATTTCCTTGCAGGTCTCTAGGAGGTCAGTCCTCCTCCGTTGGCTGCTTTGGTCCAGGCTCTCTACCATGACCCAGTAACCATGGCCTTGTGCCCTTTGTTTCCAAGTGCTGACAGTCATCTAGGAGAGTTCCAGTTGGCACGTGTTCCTTTCAGAAAATGGATATAAACAAGCCAAAATTACTTCATTTCCTCCTCTAAAGGTTTTGCAGAGCAGAACAAAATAGTGTAATGGATCAACAGCCCAAGCTGAATGCCAAAATATAAAACTAAGTTTTCAAACTGGCATAAACCTTGGTAAAGGTGACCAAACATTCTTCTCGTAGTTGGGGGTACCATGTTCTAATGTTTCACCTGATCGTTAAACAGCTTGCTTATGTTATTCTATTGATTTGGGACTTTTCCCACTTCCTTTTCTATGTTTTATGAAAATTGAGTTATAGGGACTTGAAGAGCCTGGTTTTGACCTTCTACTTTCTGCCTTCTCCCTCAGCCCCCCTCAACTCTACTACCTTCCTCCTAAGCATTTTTGGGCCTTAGTAGAGGAGCCCTTGGTCCCTTGCCATGCCTCTGCTCTCACATAGTAGACACCTATCATGGTTCAATGCCTGTAATTCCACCACAGGCTTTACTTAGCAGCAGAACAACACACAGCACTATATTTGCTAGGTAGAAGAATGGGAATATCTGCCACATGATTCAAAACTTGTCAACAGGATTTCTGCAGAGAGCATTGTGGTTTGAAGCTTCCTCTTTCTTGTAAGTGCCAGGTTTGCAGACAAAAGGTGTGATAGAGTCTGTCTCAAAGAGAGCTTGTTGCTGTGCTAAAGATACTATCTCTATTTTCTTGGTAAAAAGTTTTAAAACCTCTGTCTAGCCTAAGAATATGGGACAAAGAGTAACTGTTAAGTTCCCACCGACTGGGCATGAAGTTCAAAGAATTTCCAGACTCAGGGCCCAGAGATTGTTAGGCATGAGCCCCTCTGCTTAAATAAACCTGCTTCCTGAAAAATCCTCAGGTCCAGCCTCATCTGTCCTGCATTAACTGTAGATACCCCAGTTGCTCAGTGATCTGGTGGTACAGTAACACCACATGGTAGGCTTGGAATCAGGCACCTGTGTCTGAAGGAAGGGAGACAGAGCAAGTCTCCCCTTCTTTATGCCTTATGAGGTGTAGCTCCAGATGAGAAAACTGAGAATTAGGAATGTCAGAGTTATTGCAAAGTCACATTACAAGAAAATAACAGAGTTTGAATTCAAATAGTCAGTTTGAATAAATAGGAGAAAGTGTCTATCCAGCAAGTAGTAGAAGTTTGGGAGGCAATGTTAAATTCTGCTTGTGAAACCCTGAATAGATATAATTAACAACATTTCTTGAGGAATCTGGATCAATAACCTGATTAATATTTCACATAATGTAACTGAAAGGAAGGGAGCTGGTGTTCAAATTACATCTGTTTCCTCTATGTCACATAGTGAATGTTAAACTGCCAGGTACAGAAGAGTAGAAATAAAGGCCAACTAGCAAACTCATTAAGAGCAAAGACTCCTGAACCTATTTTTCTGAAATATTTTTTGAAAGACCCCAAAGAACCCAAATACATTAATACAATATCTTGTTTTCAAAGCACTTCAACTTGTAATGTCATTTGCCCATTACGACACCCCTGAAAGATCAGCAAAGCAGGTGTCTTCCTATTTAAGGAGAGAACTGAGAAAGACACCAATGCAGATTAACCAAGTTGAATTAATAGAAGTGGAGACTAGAACCAGGTCTGTGGCCTTTATATAGGATATTTTATGTACTTGAAAGTATGTCTGAGACAGCCCCTCCTTTGGTTGTAATGTCCACTGAGTACCTGTGACGTGAGGAAATTTCACTGTATATGTGTTGTTTTGCCTCCAAGTTCCTTCACCCTCTTGGGAATTGTTTGACCCACACTTCAGGCTATATGTGACTTTCCCCACTTACTAGCTGGTAATCTTAGGTAAATCATTTCATTATTATATGTCGATAATCATAGTATCTCCTTCATAATAGATAATCCAAGTAAAGCTATAAACATAGTACCTTTATATAAAAAGTACGTAATCAATGTTAGCTATGAAAACTATCAAGTAGAAGGTAGAAAGCAATGCTATGGCTTTATATGGAAGATTTTATGTACCTTCTACTAAAATGTATACAAGAAAGGTTTGGCCCCTTTTGCAGCCTATACAGATGAGTAAACCAAATTATCATCATCTTTGATAATACATGTGTCCATTTTAATACATTCACTACTTTTCAAAAATACATACTACATTGTTAATCAGGTGTATTTTTGCATAGATGTGGAATTTTTTGTTTGCTTTGGTGTGTTTTGTTTGTTTGGAATTTGAGGGTCATCTTTCAAACTTCTAGTATGAACTACAAATATGCATCTGCAAACACCTTTATTCAAACTATTTATGTTTAATAACTGAATTCTATTCCTATCTAAACACCATTTCCTCAGAAAATGTAAGATAAAGTGATCCACTGTAAAAATAGAGAAATTTTAAAGTATCTTAGAAAACAGCATGAATTTTTTCAGCTGCTTACTGGTGATCTAGTTTTAAGAATTAGAATCAGGCAAGAAAATGTGTTAGTTGAAAAACATGAGAAGTTTTAAAACATGAGAAGTTTTTTAAAAATCTATCTATGTTACCAGTTTTTTTTTTAACTTTCTGCAAATTACCATGGCTTGTTTTAGATTAGCTATATTATACTATAAATATGTCCAGATGTTTTTGTTATTCTGTAATTTGTTGTGTTTTGGCTGAAGACTTTCTTAGATTTCCCTCCCCCACCTGTAGTGTTGATTTCAAAGTTAGCGCTGTTTTGAATTGTTGGGTTTTGTTTTTAAGTTCATTAGAAAACAATGATTTCTGTTAGCTATAGAGATATAAAGATTCTCAAAGACAGATTATTTAATTTGTACTCATTTCAGTAAAATAATAGCTAGAACATTGTAGATCATCACTAATGAAATATAAGTAAGTAAATTATTTAAATCAATTAAAGAATTAGAATATTTACATTTCTGTAAACATTGGAATCCATTACTTAATCCAATAATGCCTATGACTACCTGCTGCCTGGCAGGGCTGTGGAAGCTTCTAGGGTCAGCCTATGGTGGGGGGGATATAATATCTTGGAGAGAAAAGGAAGAGAGAGGCATGTTTCCTCACAATTAATGTATAACATGTTCTGTTTTTCAGAGATCTGTCTTACAACCTGTTAGAAGATCTACCCAGTTTTTCAGTCTGCCAAAAGCTTCAGAAAATGTACGTCTATGAGAGTCCCTAAGTTACCTGGCAAAAAAAAAGAGACCAAACTCAGGTTTACTATGTGGCTCACTGGCAAGACACGAAATGTATTTTTTCTTACATACATAAAGTGTGATCTTGTCAGCGACTAGACTTACTGGAAAACAGACCATAATACTTTATGATGCTTTGTACTATAATATCAACACAGCATTTATTATACATCTGCTTTCCCGCCCTGCCCCCACACCCCACCTCTGTGAAGTTGTGAACTGGGGTTGTCTAAGCTTTGGAATTTTTCTTCTACAAGTAGAACCAAATGTATACATCAATGATTTGGTATTATTATTATTTTTTTTTAATATGGGAGGACTTGGGTTTGTTGTTGTGTTTGTTTCATAACTGCCAGCTTTATAGGAGATGCCATATTTGTCATAGTTGAAGTGCCACAGATGCTACTTACGCATGAAACATTTTTGACCTAAGTAAATTATTTGAATCAATTAAAGAATTATAATATTTAATTACATCTCCTAAAAAAACATCAGCCCAGTGCCTTTATAGTCAGACTTCACTTTCACCAAAACAATATTAACCATCTACCCTTTCACACTTGCAATTTTCTCTAAAAGCCTTGGAGTGATTAAGACAGAAAAATAAAGCAAATGTATCTTTCAAAAGGTAAAGATTTGACACTCCTGAAGACTTTCAAAGAACACAAGAAGAACTCTGAGGGCAGGGCCAGGAGACGCATCCTCAAGTGTTTGTAAAGATGATGGCATGTCTGGAATATGGTTTTATATCTTCCCAAGGGACTGAGCTGTTTTGAAAGAGAGCAGCTTATTTAAGTGCATAATTGTAATTTTCATTTTTAAACAAAAAAAAAGTTACTTAATAGTCACAGGTAATCCCTCTGTAAAACTTTGTAATCTTTGAAACCTGTAACTTTGAAATCAGTCTTCGGAATTCTGTCATTTCAGTGACTTCCGACATAATGAAATCTATGAAATTAAAGTCAACACTTTTCAGCAATTGCCTGGCCTCCGATCTCTGTGAGTACCACCTCCCAGCACCCACCACAACACAGAGCACTTTCCTTCTCTTGGGGGCCATTCCCTAACATTTTCTCTTCATTCCATACTCACATTATTGGGTCTCGGTGCATATATTTGCTATGAAAAGGCAAATATTTTGCTTCTGATAACTTCCAGGAATAAATTCAAAAGTAATAAGTTTACAGTTCTGCTCTCTGCCAGTGAGCAGACATGCAACTTTGATGAAAAGATAAGGAACCAAGCTGTTGAAGAGCCTATACAATATGCTTCTGTTCAGCCTAGAATTGGCAGTTGGCACAAAAATGGGATGATCACACAATTATTCCTGCCTCATTTTCCTTCCTAGTTTAAGGTTCTATGTGTCTCAAAGTGCTTAAGGAGGTGATGGTAAAAAAAAAAAAAATGCAAAATTCAGGTCCTCAACTGCCTCATGAGTTAAAATCTCTGCTGTGGGGCCTGGGCATCTGCATTTTAACAAGACCCTTAAGGTTAGAGCATAACTGTCCAAAAAATACTTCCATTACTCAAGAAATTATAACTTATAATAATTTAATTCCATTTTATGATTGAAAACATTGCCTGTTTTTAAAATTAAGAAGTGGTATTATTTAAATTTTTACTTTAAAAAAGAGAAACAGATAATTTTATGAAATGACAGTTAAATTTTTTCTATCCTGAAATTGAATTCAACAAGATTTTTGATGAATGGTGATGATATTATAATGTTTAGAATGAAGTAGTATGTTTGTTAAAAACCTTTTCTTCCACTGACTTCTAAAGTTTTTCTTAACTTTTGAGCAACTCTACTTTGGCAAAATACTATCACATCTTAAAACATTTTAAATTTACCTCATTTATTCACTTTCTTCTATCTCCCCCCACCAAAAAACAAAAACCTCTTGTGTGTTGCCCTTTTCTTACTTTTGCATTATGTCTACTTGTGTAGTTATTTTACTTGTGTGTGTGTGTGTGTGTACACACACACACATACACAATCTACTTTTATTACCTGTCCTATCCAGCAGGTTTGAGTTGTGGCTATTTTCAAAAGTCAGTTCTCCTTTAACAGGCTGACCTCTAAAGATACCAGAAGAATGTCACACAGACTCCAAAGGCTAATTTGGAGCCCCCCTGAATTCCTCTTTCCCTTAGACTTCACATCCTGTCACTTCCTAACTCTGCCAATTTCAATTTCTTCTCTCTCCACTCTTCCCACCAAGGCCTAGTGACTCATCAGGATCACCATCCTCCTCCTCCTCCTGTTTGCCACCACCCATTCATTCTCCAAAGAGATGTAAAAGCAATCTTTCTTACGTAGAAGTCCACAACTTCCCTGCTTGGGACACCTTCTTGTTATTCCCCTGCCATCTTCAAGATCAAGACTCGATATCCCACCTCTCTCCAAAATCTGATTACAAACTCCTGGTTCTGCCTCTTCTGTCTCCCACACTTTCCCAGTCCCATCACATTGGCTGCTGTTTCTCCTTCCCATTGACTGTTGGATTCCTCCCCACACTTCATTTGTCCCCTTGACATCCCACAAGACAGATGGTCTGTCTTTGAGCCCACTCCATTCTGATGCACTTTGCACATTCTCTACTGTAGGACTTAACATTGGCATTGGCATTGGATGAACTATGCCCCACCTAAAACAAGAACTTTTTTGTCTTCTTTCTACAGGGTTTAGTGCAGTGGCTCTCTCATTTATTTACTTAAGAGTTCAAACATGAGAAAAGATCAGGGACTCCAGAGCCAGTAAGCTTGAGATTGAATCCAGCTTCTGAGATTACTTTGTGACTTTGAGCAACTGACTTTTCACATATATCTCCACTTCCTCATCAGTAATACAGGGATAATAATAGTATCTACCTTTTAGGGGTGTTGAAGGTTATGAGATAGCACATGTAAAAAATGTCGTAATTGTACTAGCACATAGTAAGTATGTAACAATGTTGTTATTATTAGAGTAAGTATATAGTCTTTCAGAGTATATCAGTGAAGATCCTGGCAGGAAACAGAATTCACCCCCAATAGTTCAAATAAAGGGTCACCTACATAGGTGCAGCAGTGAGCAAGCAAGGGTATTAGATCTGCAGAAACCAGCAGCATCACCAAGACCAGGGCTAAAGAGATACTGGGAGAAAATTGTGTTTCCAGAGCAAGAAAGAGCTTGATCATGGAGAGGCTTGCAGTGGTTGAGAACCTGTGTAGATTCCAAAACAGGGAAGGAGCAGACCACAAGTGCCCTGACCTGGCCTCTCCCTACTGGGGTCCCCATTGGGAAATCAAACAGAGCAGGACAAGAGAGTGGAAGATGATGCCTTCAGGGCTGCTGCAGAGATTCCAGCATGTGCAGACTGGACAGAAAGCACCATTATTTGAACATCTAAATTTGTACTTCTTTACTTAAAACCCAATCAAATCACTATAAAGCCCCATGGCAGGATCAGTTTACATTCCAGATATTCTACTACGATGCGAAGCTCCCCAGGATGCCTATGCTCTTAATTCTGCCAAAAGACTTTAACAGATGGTGTTACTTACCTCAGTAGGTTTGCATTCCTGGAGCAGCTCAATGGAAGACAGTTGCCATTTGTAAGCTTTCCCACCCGCCATGCTTCTTACCTGCCATCTTCTGTTCTGAGATCAGTGCAAAGACTTCTGATTTCCTCCAAAAAAGGAAGAAAGTCCCCTTAAGGAACCTTTCAAATGGGAATGTGAATATTCTGAAATTACATTCATCCAGGGTAACTCAGGAGCCCAATACATCTTCACCTAAGAAAAGTTGTCTTTGATCTTTCAATTTTTTCAAATGCCTATATCTTAGTTACCCTTACTTTTTAAACATTTTAAAAATAAAAATCTTAAATTCATAGTCCTTTTTTTAAAATATAGAATTTCTTATCTCTAATGACTTATAGACATTTTTATAAAAGAAATTATTTCAACTTAATTGTCTACATTTCACTCTGTATGTGGCAAGCGAATTTTATTTTCCCATAAACCATAGTTTTTCTTGGCTATCAAAGAATTTTAAGGCAGGGGGCTGGGGTGGTGGCTTAGTGGTGGAGTGCTTGCCTAGCATGTGTGAGGCACTGGGTTCGATTCTCAGAACCACATACAAATAAATAAAAATAAAATTCTATCAAAAACTAAAACACTAAAGTTTAATTTAAAAAAAAAGAATTTTAAGGCAAATATATATGTTTGCCCCTATTTTAGTCATATCCTAGATAAGAATTTTCTTTTTATCAGAAGCCAGGCATGGTGACAAACATTTGCAATCACAGCCAACTTGGGAGGCTGAGGCAGAAGGATCCAAGTTCCAAGCCAGCAGTAGCAAGTTTGCCTAGAGTGTATGAGGCCCTGAGTTTGATCCCCAACACAACAGGATTTTTTTTTTTTCTTATCAGTATCCTTTCCTGGATGTTTTCTTATAAGCATCTTTTTATTTCAAGGTCTGACATATATAGGTGATATGCACAAATTTTAACTTGTGTTTCATTACATATCCAGAGACATTTTTAAAAATTTACTTGCTTGTAAGAAGAAGAACCTCAAAAGTTTGTCTCTTCCCACTCTCCTACCCCCACTCATTTTAGAAAAGCCCTAGTAAAATTTTACAGCCATTTTAAAGTCAACCTTTTAACAAGAAGAGAATAAAAACCCAAAATATCTACCTGAATGACTTGGCCTTGATTACTTCAAACAAAGTTGATTTGAAGTTCTCTCTTTAGTCATTTTATATTATCAATGTCTTTATCTGAAGGACAGTTTGATGAGCTAATTGTGCTTGGTCTGTACAGAAATTAAATTTTGATAGAGAACTAAATGCATATGGTAAAACCTCACATGTTCTTTTTTTCATATGTAATCATCTCTTTGGTCCTTTCTTGAAAAACAGGAATTTAGCTTGGAATAAAATTGCCATTATTCACCCCGATGCATTTTCTACTTTGCCATCACTAATAAAGCTGTGAGTATTTCATTACTTGTTTATGGCATGTCATTTAATAAATGGGGACCATCTAGATAATAAAAAATTGATTTTGCTGAAGACATAATGTGTTTTCCACCTACAGCTATGTCACAGTCAGGGAGGAGCTTCCCTGCTCCTACAGGGCCATATGGGCCCTTAAGTGGATAATTGAGATCTGAGTGACAGCTGGTTCTGATTATTCAGGTGAAGTCCATTTTTGCTGAGTAATCAGGTGGAACGGAAGAAGATGTCAATTCAGTTCTGAAGGGCTTCCTTTTTTATTGCTTGCCATCTTGACTAATGGAAAACCTTCCTGTGCACCCCCCTCTTTATTTTTCCCTCCTCTTCTTTCCATCTCTTGCTCCTTTCTCTCCCTTTTTCTTATCTACTAGGGAAATAAGAATTGTGTAGAACTTAGGATAAGATGGGAGGGAATAAAGCCCTGACTTTTTTTTTTTATCTCTACTTCCTATTAATTTTCAAATAAATGTAACAACTTCCCCCTTGATTTTAGATATCTCCATTTGGCAAAATGGAATCAAATGCAGAATGATTTGGATGCAGTTAAAACTTTTTCCCCTGCAATTCTGATTGCAAATAGAAAAGTTGTCAAGAGCTAAAACCAAAAATGGTTACTTTTACCATTAAGAGTAAAGACACACACACAGCAAAAAAAGACTCAGGACTCTGCTTAGAAGTTTTTATTGAGCAGTTTAATCATCTTTAGAATGCTTTTTTAACCTAAACGTTTTATGCTAACACAAACTAAAAGCCAATTGTTGTTTGATGTTTTGCAGGGACCTATCGTCCAACCTCCTGTCGTCTTTTCCTGTAACTGGGTTACATGGTTTAACTCACTTAAAATTAACAGGAAATCATGCCTTACAGACCTTGATATCATCTGAAAACTTTCCAGAACTCAAGTGAGTTTGTCATTAAAACTAATAAGATACGTTTGTAGTCATGTGAAATAATAGACATGTTATAGTGGTTTTCTAAATTTATGAGGTCACAGGACACTTTTGAATTGCATTTCATGCTCTCAAGTCCCCCACCCCTGGACATGGTTAGAACAAGCCCTGAAGTGGGATGAAGGCATCCTTCTCAAAGATGCCTCCCAGAATTAGAGAGTTCATGGAAAGAGTTTGAAAATCATTGATCCATTGAACATAAACTAGGACAGATAATTAAATAACATTATAACATTATAGTACTCTGTTTACAAATTTTAATTGATCTAGCTTGTGTATATGTTATACTGAAATGTGCTAAATTAATATTTGGGGAAGTTGTGCACTTCAAAACCTGTTATGCTTATTAGCTGTAAAGAAGTATCTTGAAAGATTATATATGTATATATGTGTATACATACATATACATATGTTTTAAACACAATACTTTTTAATATATTTTCAATATCATTAAAATAATATAACGCCAAAAGTTAGTTTGTAAAATGGAAGAGAGAAAAAAATGTTAAAAAATGCCCCTCCAAACAACATTTTTATGTGTTTTTTTCTTTCTAGACTTTGTTTCATTTATTTAATTATTAGACTCAAAATATGCATAGACATTTATATCAAGTTTTAGCTATTTAAATAATGTTACAACATAATGTTACCATAGTTTTCCTAGCATTTAAAAATTTTTTTGTATAGTTGTAGATAGACAGCATGCCTTTATTTGTTTAGTTTTTAGGATGAACCCAGTGCCTCACACATGCTAGGCAAGCGCTCTGCCACTGAGCGACAGCCCCAGCCCTTGCTAGCATTTTTTAAACCCTTTTATTATGGAAATTTCCTATCCTGTGAGTGATGGAAGTTGACTCACTCAGCTTCAGCAATTACCAACATTTCGTGGTGATAATTTTTATTAACTCCATTATTGTTATAAGTAGCACTGTAATGAACATCTTTATGCACAGAATTTATATTTGGATTATTTATTTAGGTTAAAATCCAAAGGTAGAATCATTTGGTAAAAAAAAATGACAAACACTCCATTTAATGACCCATCTTTCAAGCTGTGTTTTTTGTCTTGTGCTTCTAAAGGATTATAGAAATGCCTTATGCTTACCAGTGCTGTGAATTTGGAGTGTGTGAGAACATCTATAAAATTCCTAATCAGTGGAATAAAGGTGACAACAGCAGTGTGGATGACCTTCATAAGAAAGACGCTGGGATGGTTCTGGTTCAAGGTAAATCCTGCTAGGTCAACAGTAATGAAATTGAGATCAGAAGGGTGGAGAAAAGTCATCAAACAGATCATCTGAACTCAGACCAGTCTTTAAGTAACCAACCCAGCAAGAATCAAGCCCCCTTTGAAAGACTTGCAGAGAAAGAGAAAGCTCCCTCTGGGTTTATTATAAAAGTTCATCTGTTCTGTTGGTGAATTCTTAACATTTATATTCATGGTTAGATCTTCCTTATCATGGGTTGTCCTCAGGGGTGATTACTGATATCGGTATTTCCATAAACTTTTAGAAAGGTACCATTCCTGTGGGGACTTTTTTCAACCTTGCTGCTGAGCTTTTGTCTCCAAAAGACAAAATCTATTTTTAGTCTTATGGCCTGGGGACATTCCTCTGTATTTTAACAGTAGGACTTAAGAATTCAGCTTCTTATCCAACCAATTCTAAATCATTCTCCCCACTCACCCCCCACACAGGTATCTGTCAGGAAGGTGGAGTGAGATAATGTCTGTGAGGCCCTTGGCTCTCCTTGAAGTAAGACGTTACTTAGACAGACAGCAATGCACCTCAACCACACCTGTGGTGATGGGGAGGCGCCTCAGGCAACACCTTCTCTTTTCCCTGCCAACCCTACGAGTTTGCACAGGGTTTGAACAGAAGGACTGCTCATTCTTTAGGCCTTAATGATTTGTTGATTCCAAAGCAAGTGTGATTCAGTCTGTTTTAGGATTACCTTAACATTTCTCCCTGTGTGCGTATTGACTTAAGGAGCTGATATCTTGGCCTTTGGCGCATTTTATTTTTCTTCCCTCCCCCCTATTTTAGGCCATAGCATGAATCTTGCTCTGGTTCTTGCTTTGTTTTTGCTCTTTTTGCCTTACACATTCTAATTTTTACTACCTTCATGCATTTAAAAAATTAAAGTGCCTACCATGTGTCAGGCACTATACTAGACCCTGGAGGTACATAATAAACAAGAGAAATAAGGTCCTTCATAGTAATTATTTTCAAGAGCAGTAATTCTCAACTCTGGGCCCCCTGTTAGAATCACACCGAAGCTTTCTAAAAATACTGGTGCCCAAGTCCCACACAATACAATCAAATTCACATCTTTAGGAAAGTGTATTAGACTGTGAATCTCCTGTTTCATGAATAGTTAAACCATGTACCAAGTAGTTACTTTTACTTGTTCTCTGTTACACAGAATCCCCCAAGGAAGATTGAAAATTATTGTCCCTGATTCTCCCTTTTGTGCTCAGAGAACACAGCCCAGAACCTGGGCACCGTGGCTACTGTAGTATCCCCTGCACTATATGGAGAAGCCCATAGTCGTCCTATAATTTAGGTTAGTAAGAATTAAGGCCAAGACCTCCAGGGAACAAGAACAGAATGAGAGTGCTTAGATGTTATAACCTAGAGTCTGGAGTCACTCTCCCTCACCCATGGAACACTACGTCATAGGAGCTTGAGTAGAACGTCCAACACAACTTTATAATAGACTTTCAAGAAAGCTAAAGCCCAGGGAAAGGCAGGTGGTCTTGCCTTCACTTCCCTTTGTGACAGATTATATCTGGAGGGCGACCCAAGATACTCTTTCCTGGAATTCAGTCCCTTGAAAGGAGATAGAACTAATCATTCCAGGTCTTCTTCCTGCAGATGAGCGTGACCTGGAAGATTTCCTGCTGGACTTTGAGGAAGACCTGAAAGCCCTTCATTCAGTGCAGTGTTCACCTTCTCCAGGTGAGAAGCATAGAAATGCCCAGCTGTAGCATCCACTATTGATTCTAATGCCATCAACACTGTGGCTACACTTCAGAACTAAATCCAGTCTACCTTGTGGCTCATCAGTGTCCCTCTTGGGGAACAAGGGTGTAAAATACTTATAAGTGTTCATTCCTGGAATTGTTCTCCATTCAAAAATGGGAGTTTTGTAGGAAACTTATGATTCAGGTCATAGAAACTAAAGAATCAAGCATGTATTTAGAGGTATATGTTATTCTTAAACCAGTTAGCCTTTTAGCCTGAAATGGCTTGTTTTCTATAATCACTGACTTTTAAAAAGTGATTTAAATCTTCTCTTACATAAATAACCATTTGGTGAAAGCAAATAATGGTTTTTATAAATAAGTTTGGTGGTGTTGTTTTTTTTTTTTTCTCAAATAATTCACTTAATTGTCCTGTTTCCAGAAACAGATGAGCCAGTTGAAAAAAGACAACTGGCAATGGTTAATATTTTATTTTCAACAATTAGATCAAGTCTGTTCCCTGTGTTTGTCACCTTCCTGTAACAAAATAACTGAGATAATCAACTTAATAAGGGAAAATGTTTATTTTGACTCATAGTTTCAGACCATGGTTGCTTGGCCATATTGCTTTGGGTCTTTTGCAGCACAGTATATCATGGCAGTAGCACATGGAGAAGGAAGCTGTTCATCTCATGGGAGCAGGGAAGGAAAGAAACAGGAAAAATAGGGGCCAGGGTCCCAATATTCCTTTCAAGGCCACACCCCAAATGACCTAACTTCCTTTCACTAGGCCTCACCTCTTAAAGTTTCTACCCCTTCCCAACAGGGCCACAAACTGGGGACCAAGCCTTCACTACATGGGCCTTTGGGGACCATTCAAGATCCAAACTATACCATTACCTAACAACAAATGTCAATCTAAAACTAAGATGAGACTTTCATGAAATGTGTATTCATACTCCCCATACTTGATATCCTAATGTTATGAAGTATTTCCCTAGGATTCTCATTTTCTTCCTGTAGAAACCTTACTGAAGCATTCTGAAAAATATGAAAAGAGCAGGCTATATAGCTTTTCACCTGGTCCCAACACTGCTATATTTTGGAGACCTTTAATCAAGTGACTGAAGGCCCCATTTTCATTCTCTATGTACATGAGTACCTGGTGTGATCAGTCAGGGCGGCAGAAACTCCAAGGTGATCCCAACAGTGGTTTGCGAAAGTGGAGCATGCCATGCAGTACTGTGAGTTATGATGACTGTTACTGGCCTTTATCTCTTGCTGTCCTAATAAGAGAAACAAAAGGACAATTTGGTAAGAGTTGTCAACTCTAATTTGAAACACAGCCTTTTTCTTCCTTGAACTTTCAGGCCCTTTCAAGCCCTGTGAACACCTGTTCGGTAGCTGGCTGATCAGAATCGGAGTGTGGATCATAGTAGTTCTGGCGATTTCTTGCAACACCTTGGTGATTTCAACAGTGTTCAGATCCCCTCTGTACATTTCCTCCATAAAACTGTTGATTGGGGTCATTGCAGTGATGAACATGCTCATGGGTGTCTCCAGCACTGTGCTGGCTGCCATAGATGCATTCACTTTTGGCAGCTTTGCGCAGCACGGTGCATGGTGGGAGAATGGGGTCGGTTGCCAAATAATTGGGTTTTTGTCCATTTTTGCTTCGGAATCATCTGTTTTCCTGCTTACTCTGGCAGCCCTGGAGCGTGGGTTTTCTGTGAAGTGTTCTGCAAGATTTGAAATGAAAACTCCTTTTTCTAGCCTGAAAGCAATTATTTTGCTCTGTGCCCTGCTGGCCCTGACCATCGCCACAGTTCCTCTGCTGGGTGGCAGTGAGTACAGTGCCTCCCCTCTCTGCCTGCCCCTTCCCTTTGGGGAACCCAGCACCACTGGCTACATGGTGGCTCTTGTCTTGCTCAACTCCCTTTGCTTCCTCATAATGACCATTGCCTACACCAAGCTCTACTGCAACTTGGAGAAGGGAGACCTGGAGAATATCTGGGACTGTTCCATGGTGAAACACATTGCTCTGTTGCTCTTCACCAACTGTATCCTTTACTGCCCGGTGGCTTTCTTATCCTTCTCCTCTTTGCTGAACCTCACATTTATCAGTCCTGAAGTAATTAAATTTATCCTTCTAGTGATTGTCCCACTTCCTGCCTGTCTCAATCCCCTTCTTTACATCCTCTTCAATCCCCACTTTAAGGAGGATCTGGGGAGCCTGGAAAAGCAAACCCACCTCTGGACAAGATCAAAACACCCAAGCTTGATATCTGTTAACTCAGATGATGTTGAGAAACAGTCCTGTGACTCAACCCAAGCCTTGGTAACCTTCACCAGCGCCAGCATAGCCTACGACCTGCCTTCCAATTCTGTGTCATCGCCAGCTTATACAGTGACGGAAAGCTGTCATCTTTCATCTGTAGCATTTGTCCCATGTCTCTAATTAATATGTAAGTAAAAGTTTTTCAAAAGATGGGAACTTGAAAATGTGAGATTGAGGACATCAGAGCAGTAGCTAAGAAGACTGGGGTGAAACTGGGTTTAAAAACCAAAAAATAAAATAAAATAACCTCTCAGTGTGATAAAACTGATACCTATTGATACTTGAGAGTGAAATACAAATCTAAATGCTGCTTGTATGTTGTTGAGCTAAGAGATAGATCAGTCACATTACTGATATTGACCCAGATCAAAAAATCAAATTGAAATGCTCTTTAATAAAAGAGTCTCCATGATTTTGCATTCTCTTTAAACTCACCAATATGAGCTCAGTGGAGAAGACTCACTTGCTTACAAAATGGGTTTATTTAAACTCCCAAATCTCTTAAAATACGTTTGAAAGTATTGGGAAAGTGAAGGTTTGAAATGGCTTACATTACTTATAAAAGACTATGGCCCACAGGATTTCATTTTAATGACTATATGGAGATGCTTTAGTCTGCCTTTGCCTTTCCTCAGAGAAGATCCTTCTCAGTCACCAGTTCTGGATAATATAAGGCAGTATTAAGTCATCTATAGTCACATCATTTTTACAAATACTGGGTTTTAGGACTCAGCACTCTATGGTTTTATGGAATAAAACTGATTACAGGGGCTGGGGCTATAGCTCAGTTGGTAGAGTGATTGCCTTGCATGCACAAGGCCCTGGGTTCAATCCCCAGAATTAAAAAAAAAAAAAAAAAAGAAAAGAAAAGAAACCCACAACTGATTATAAATATTTTGAAAGGCAAATTAACTGAAATTATTAAATTATTCCAAGGCAATCATGTACAGGCAAAGCTGTCTTGTCTAATTCATTTTAAGTCCTTGGTGTCCAAAGCTCAGAAAGGAAGTCCATTGCAGGCAGTGAACATATCTAGAAAAGATAGCAAGCATGTGGGATTTTTTTTTTTTTAATTTCTGATTGAGTGCACATTTTTTGTAAAAGACTTTATCATTGATTCAATGGTTGTGCACCTTAAGATAACGATCAAGTGCATACATAACAAAAATTAAGTCCACCCATAAAACTTCTCATGCATGTATTTCTAGTCCCTCTGGCCACAATTTGGACAATGCCTTGGACTCAATAGAGACTTGGTAATATTTTATCTTGTTTATTTACCTTGGTTTTAGCTACATTCTCTCTGGATCAACCACTTGATGTGAGGAACATTACTCCTCTGATTATTCCATATTAATACATGTGTTAGATATTATAAGAGACAAATTATTAAATATGAAGAGTCAAAGGATTAAGTCTTAACTTCTATTATCCTACATTAGTTTCATTATACCCAAACCAAAAAGCTATTAGGTAGATTTATTTTTATATAAGCATGTTTATTTTGATCAGATGTTTTAACTTGGAATTTAAAAAAATACATTTATGAGATGTTTTATAAGATGTGTAAATATAGAACTGTATTTATTACAGTAAAGAATCAGTGACATTAAAGACCATGATAATAAACCATGTACAGTGGCATAGCCTTCCATATATATTGTTTCTCTGTCCATTTTCTTTAAATTCATCAACTGTATGTAATATATGTAAATATATAATACTTGTAAATAGATTCCAAATTTGCTTTTCTATTGGATACAAAATAAATTTGTAATAAAATGTGTGACTATAAAACAAAATATTTTCATGTCTATTTATTGAACCCATAAGGAGACATACGGTCCCCTAATGTTTTTAATTTGGGAGGTTAAGTACATTTGCTATGTAAATATTTGCACTCTCATACTTTAAATACATTAGCCATATTAAAAAATAATTTTTCATAAGAACAAACCAAAATATTTTTGCTAACTCCTGGATTGATAAGTCATTTTGTCATGACATTGGTAAAGTTTATTGTTCCTAGTGATAGTCTGGATTTTATAAGTCAGAACTTACACTGGCCTCAAACACTTTTTTTAATGTAAGAAGAAAAAAAAAAGACACAATTAGAAAGGGATGTATGAATAACAAATCCATCTTAAATTATTCAACATGGACACAAGTTTCCTATAAATTCTTCCTTTAATGCAAACATATTTCATGACCATGTCAAGGCCAAAACAATAGGACCTGTGATTTTCAGGGTATGAAGAAATTCATTCTTCCCAGTAAGTTCCCAAAAACATAAAGAAATAAAATAATTTTCCTAGATACCTGTGCCAGACCTTTCAGCTTCAGTAGTGATTGCTATTCTCCCTATATGGGTTGCCAAATGAAACAAAAGTACTGGTAGCAGGCTCGGCATTATGACTAAGTTCAGTCCATGTTTACCGAGCACCCCCAAGGTGCCTGGCACTGTGTCCCACCCACCCATCAGGCTTAACCATATGCTTTAGCCTAAACCTAGTTAACAGTTAAGCCTAGTTAATGAGGTCTTCTTGTACAGTACATGCTTGGACTTCAGATAAATCAAGGATTCACTCCTCTTAATCTCACCCCTCAGCCCAGGCAGCAGAAAACTCTAGAGAGCAACATATCTCAGTCTTTCTTCTCAGCATACTTGTTTTTAGGCAACCAAAGTTAAGAACAAGTCCTGGCAACCCCCTCCTATCTCTCTTGCTCAAGAAAACACAAGTCAGTAATGTAATTAAAAGAAGGAGGAGGAGGAGAAGGAGAAGAAGAAAACATTTATATCCATGCTATTTTCTTTAAAAATAAATCCATAAGCTTCATTACTTTAATAGCAAACACTAGTTGCAATACACCTCACACTAAACACTAGTATATTAAGGGTTTGAAAAATGTTCTTCAATATACAATACAGCACAAATTGAAACTGCATCTACAAATAAATCTACAGTGAGAAAGGAAAAAATATGTCATAGAGATAGACTGAACCACAGTAAAAACAATGTAACAAATCAAAAGAACATAAAGGAATAATCTAGCCTAGAATATGTGGTTAACAAATTTATGTTTTCAAAAATGGATTCATTCACTTGACAAATATTGTGTGCCTACTATGTGCAGTGCTATATGCACTGGGGATAACTAAACAAGGCCTAGATTTTGCATTCAGTGGAGTGGAGGTAGGCAATAAGCTTATGTACAGCAATTCCTGATAAAAACGTGTGAAAGAACTGAAGCTATTTCAAACAGCATGAAGGATCCAGGCACATAGTGCATGCCTATGATCCCAGCATCTCTAGAGGCTGAGGCAAGTGTATCACAAGTTTGAAGCCAATCTGGACAATTTAGCAAGATCCCACCTCAAGAATTAAAAGGGCTCAGGATGTAGCTCAGTGGTAGAGCACCCCTGGGTTCAATCTCCAGTACCCAAACAAAAAAAACAAAAACAAATAACATAAAAGGATTGACAGGCATACTAGTTTAGATAAATTCTCTCTGGAAAGATACCGTATACTGATTTCATTTGTAAAATATTTGTCTTTGTTTTTGCATTCAACCAGTTACATCAAGAAAACTCATCATTTTTAGTCCCTCTGTTCATATGTTACCTATAACAAACTATTTTGAATGACATTTTAATAGAAAAATATAATGAGCTGGCTATTACTACATGTAATTCTTTTTCTCAACTCTTCCTGAAGAGAAAATCATTCTTTTTTTTTTTTTTTTTTTTAAACAACAGAGATTTATTCTCCCACAGTTCTAGAGGCTTGACGTCTGAAATGAAGAGTTCTAAATGTGAAATAGAAAACATCCTTTCATTTAGATTTGGCCCAAAATAGAAAAACAAAGTAGTAGTAAAGGAAATAAAATTAGCAATACCCTTTTCATTTAGAACCAGAAAAGCTCTAACATCTGAAAAAATAACAATGTCCTGCTTCTTTTGTTAATCTTACAATTACACTTAGCTCAGGGGCCCATTAGCCAGCATGAGAATGTCTTAGATAAACAGATGGATCTCACTGTGACCATACTTGTTCCACTCATGTTCTTCATTCAGCATTTGGAAATTTTATTTTATGGTTAAACTGTGCAGACAAAAAGGATGATCTCTCTCTAGGCCATTGAACACTGATCATTTTCTCTGTCAGACTCATGGTCTTTAAAATACAGTTAGGATTAGATCTTTAAAATACAGTTAGGTAGCTTTTCTTTGCAAGAGAAATGGTGAATATGCACCTCATTTCCTCCTTATGAATCTTTCTAAAAGTGTTGAACAAAGGGGCTGGGATGTAGGTCAATAGTAGAACACTTGTTTAGCATATGCAAGGGCCTGAGTTCCATTCCCAGCACTGCAAAAATAAATAAAAAAAGATATTGAACTCAGATTCTACACTGACTCATTTGCCTCAAACACAAGTTTCAGCAAGTCTGACCTTTGATGCGTATGGGGTAGGATGATAAAACTTTAGCTTGTTTGGATTCAGAAACCTGGTAGAAAGTACATGTGTTGAGCTAGAGAAACACTGTGAAATACAAGTGAAATTGGATAGCGAAATGATATCCCATCTAAGAATAGTCAAAGAAAATGGAAAATGCTTCACCTAGAGAAAAAAAAATAGATATTTGAATAATTGAAATTTACTAAGTGCTTTTCAAAGTATGAACTTACAGCTGGCCAGGCTGACCTGGGTTCAAGTTCTAGTTCTATTACTCTCTGTATGAACTTTGGGTAAAGTATTTAATCTTCTCAGCTTCAATTTTCTCCTCCATAAAATTGGAATAAACCACCAACTTTATTGGGTTGGGAATATTAATAACTCAGTGTATATAAATGTCTCAGCACAGTATCTGCAAAGCAGCAAGTATTCAATAGCTGCTTACTGTCTTTGCCCACTTACCAAAGTGCAAATAAGGCTTTATCATTTTACAGGTGAAAAAGCAAAGCAAAAAATGAGTTCATAAGGTTAAAGATGAGGAGGAGCTTATGCTAAAACACAGGTTCTATTTACTAGCACTTGAAAAACAACCACACAGCAAGTCAGCTTTCAGAGAACAAGAACCAACTGGTGAACAACTTAGGGAGACCAAATTAAGCTCACCTGAGAAATATTCATTCAGCAGGTGTCTTGGATACCAAAGAAAGTCTACCACATCAAGCGAGAAGCTAGACTGAATATCAGTTGACTTCTCAGTTCCCAACATTCTAGATGAATTCTTTCTAGCCTCCTCAGAAGAAATGTCAGGCTTGGGAAATGGCTGTGGAAGGCAGAGACTCTAAATCTGCATCCTGAACCTGGAGAACATAGTTCTGTGTCATTAGAGGGTGAGCAGTTGGTCCCTTAGTTTGGTGAAAAATAAAGACCTGGGATTTAAATTCACTTGTCATAGAGATCTTGGTAGAGTACCAGGCAAGCTTCTTAATTTCTCTAGCTCTTCACTGATGCTGATCTTTTCTCTCAAACTACTGATGAAATATCAACTCTCTTATGGCAGGTTATAGCAGGTTGAAATCTGTTCTTTCTGCCACTGAACAGCTAAAAGTCAACTAAACCAGAGTCATAGCTCAAAATTGTAGAAATATTAGCACTAACAGGCAATACATGGCAAAATTGAGATGCTTCACAATTAGTTTTTCTCTTCAGCTGCATAAAGTCCTTGTCTATCTCTCCATTTTCTGCCTTTCTTCTTCTTTCCCTTCTTGTTTGATCCCAAGCTGTAAATATTAGAATATTTAAGTGAAATATTCCATAACTGTGGCTAGTTGGCTTTTTTGATCATAAGAATAGAAAGTTATTTGGAAGACACCTGTGGCAATAAAAACAAAGATGCAAATCTCTTAGTTAGAGATGACAGAACTGGAGCCTCAGGACCAAACCATGGGGTGTTAAAGTAGAAGGCTTATATCCAGCCTCAGGCTAAAGTATTCTTTTTGTCCCGGGATATGGTTTGGATATGGTTTGTTCCCACCAAAACTTTTCTTGACATTTAATTGCCAATGTAATGGTCTTCAGAGGTGGTGAGAGCTTTAAGAAGTGATTAAATTGTTGAGAGGAATTAACACCTTTCTTGAAGGAGTGGGCTCTTACCACAAGAACCATGTGTAATAACAAGTTTGGCTTTGTTGGTTTTCTCTTGTTCCTCCACACATACCCACTTGTCCTTCTACTGTCCACCATGAGTTGAAGCAGTGCAAAGCCCTCACTGGCACCATGCTAGTGGACATCCTAGTCTTCAGAACCATAAACCAAAAGAAATTTTTCCTTGTATGTTATTCAGTCATAGGAAATTAACTAAGTCAGAAAATGGGTGCTACAAATGGGACACTGCTATAACAATCCTGAAAATGTGAAATCAGCTGTATGTGGGTAGAAAAGGACAGAAGAGTTTGGAGGAGAAGGCTAGAAAAAATAGCAGAGCTTTAAGGGTGATTTAAGGGTGATTCTGGTGAGGGCTCAGAAGACAAAAAGGCTAGGGGAAAATCTGAAACCTCTAAGAAATAACTTAAGCAGTTTGACCAGAATGCTGATAGACGTATGGACAGAAAAGGCCATTCCCACAAAGTCTCAGGTGAAAATGAGAAAAGTTTTATTGGGAAAGAGAGCAAAACCATTCTCATTATAAAGTTGCAAAGAACTTGAGTGCATTGTGTCCAGACCCTAGAACTTTTCAGAAGGCAGAACTTCAGAGGGATGAACTAGGATTTCTGGTGGAATAAGTTTCCAAGCAAAATACAAAAGGAGCTTTAGGGTTGCTTCCAATTACATATACTAAGATATGTGGAAAG